ATTCCTGATGTCAACCAAAGTATTTTTCTTTCTGGTGCTACGGAAGAAACAAAAACCATTAAGGCGCTTCTTCTTGATATGGGACAAAGCGAACAAAACATAGCTACAATAGCATAGTTTCAAAAAGCTTTTCATATGAAAAGAGAATGAAAAAAAGAAAAAAATAGGGATTTTTAATTACCATAGTTTTTTTTTGTTTCTTTCTTCCTTTATTTGTTCGGTCTTCTTCTGGTAGGGACGAGGAGAATGACAACAAAAAAATACGCATGCACACACTATTTGAGCATAATCTTCTTCAATAACGGGAAATATTTATCTTTTAAAAACTGAAAACGAGAGCTACTAACTACATCTCTGCCATATTTTGGTTTTTCAGTGTTTCGATGTATGTTTGTCACCAAGAAAGGAGAGCATGAACTGAAGCCAGAGTGAGTTGGGTAAAGAGAAGCATCTCTAAAACAATAGAATTCTTTGTTTTTGTTTTTTACTGTAATCCTCTTAACTGAATTATGTTTCTATTTCACACACTTCTTTTTTTTTTGTTTCCCATTACCATTGAGGTTTGAATAGAAGCAAAAAGGCAAGGAAGGCACATTAATAGACCCCACTCTCTTCATGTCAGAGGAGAGGATCCCAGAGACAAAGGCGCACCATCGTTAACGCCGGATCTCAAGAAAAAATAAATAAAGTATGAACCCCACTTGACCTTTCTCACTGCGTCACTTTTTTCTTGGTGGGTGGGGTGGTGGCGTTTTCCATCTGGAACCTTGATGGTTAGTTTTTTTTTTTTCTTTTATTACCTCTTTCTTGGGTCCTGAGACAGGGCATTTCTGCCGAACCCGCAAAGGTAAAGCAAGAAAAGATAGAAGTTTTCCCGGGTTTAGCGAGAAGATGTCGCACCCGTCCGAGTTTTTTTTTTTTTTTTTCGTTTCCTACCACAAGAGAGGAAGTGGTATGAAAGAAAGGCTTCGGATGAATCCGAAACAAAGCAAAAAAAGTGGGAATTTAGAAAGCACAACAGGTAAGTCAAGTGTAATAAATTCTCCATTTTTAAGGCATTAGAAAAACACGGTGAACCCATTTGATGAAGGACACACCACACACCCAAGGGTCAAAACAATCCAGAAAGAAAAAAAAAACACCTGCCAGGAGCGAGGCCTTTGGTCGAGTCCTTTTTTTCCCCTTCATTCTCAACAGGAAGACCTGTGATTGTGGCCCTCCTCTGGTGGAATGGAAACCTCTTGGGTGACTGTTTCTGCCATTATTTCTCCCTCTCATTTTATAAAGATTTCTTTCAATCCCAGCAGTCACGTCCTGCGCACTCCCTTCTTTCTTTGTTTGTGTTTTTCTTTTTTTTTTCTTCAAAAAGGAATCTCTGAAACCATGAGTTGGTTTTAATTTGTGTTTGTTTTGTCTTTCTCATTTTTTCTTCTGATTTCACCCCCTGCGGTCCGCCGGTTTCCCCATTAGACTGGGAACGCTGTCATTTTTTTTTTTTTTGTTTTTCCGCTGCCGTTCTCCGTCTTTCCTCTCTCACTCTTTGCGCGCCGGTGGCCCTTGGGAACCCTCATTGCCAAAACAAACGGGGTATTTAAAAAGAAAAAAAAGGCACCCCATCGCCATCGACACAACCGCCGACCACCCACCCAGGTTTGAACAGCACGACGCATTTTTTTTTTCCCTCTTGTTTTACTTATTTTTTTTTTATTCCCACGACTTGTTTTCTAAAGAAAGAAAAAAAAGAAAGTAGAGGGCATCCGCCCGTAGAATTCTAGATAAGGGATGGCGTCCGGGCTCGGGGAAAGCTGGGCGTCGGTCCGAAGGGGACATTTCAGGGACCGGAAAAGGGGAAGGCCAGATCCAACCCCGGCAAGAGAAAGCAACACCAGGAGAGACATAGGGATGACCGGGGGATCATCTTGGGGTGGATTCCTTGGTTCCCCTGGTGCCTTTTACCCTGGTGCTCCTCTTTCCTGGGGCCCACCACCCGCAATAATTGAAAAAAATGGTCCCGTTTTAGTCGGGGAATTGGTGTATCAAGATTTCCAGTCGGAAATTAAAACGACCCCAACGCCAGCAAACACCCATCAAACACAACAACAAAACCCTATACGAGAGATAAATGAAAAGAAGGAAGACGGTGAAAAAATAACAACAGCAAATCCGAGACCGCAAGAAGTGACCGCTGAGAAAAATGGAAATAGCCATGCAGCGGTGCAAGAACTCTTGCGACGTATTATCGCTTTAGAATTTTCCGGAAGGTGCACGCAAAGGTCCATGACAATAGTTCAAACTATTTGTGATACCCTTTGTGTGGACCCAATTGGGGTTATTAAAGTTATGGAAGTATTGGATGAATGTTTTTTAAAAGCTGTAAAAATGAAACAACAAGAACAATTACTAAATTATTGGTATATTGTAGATGCTGTGATGAAACTATTCCGTGACAGACCTCCAATGTTAAACGCCATTATGGTTACTTTACCCCATCTTCTTCTTCAGTATGTGCCATGGAAAAATGGCAAACTTGAAGAAGAACCATGGATTCAACGAGAAAAAGACGAAGCACGTTACGAGCAACTTTTCCAAACGTGGGAACACACTGTATCAAGAGATCTTTTAGATGAAATATGGGATATGTGGAGGAATGGACTCACAGAAACAGAAGCAAAAAAAAATACCACAGCTTAAAAAATAAATGTAGAAGTTGAAAAGAATTTTACGTACAAACGAAAATGCCCTTTTGTGGCACTACAAATAGGAAAATAATTTCTTTCACGCAAGAACCGTTCGCAACACTTTTAAACGAAGAACCCTGTCCAATATTCTCAGGGTGAAAGAAAAGGAGGTATCGCACCAAGCGCGTCTCTTGCCCACATTTTTCCTATTCCTTTTTTTGGCCAATTTGTTTTTTTCTTTTTTTATCCAACAAAAGAAAGGAAAGGAAAAGAGAAAAAAGGGTAAAGCGCGCAAAAGAAAATCAAAAAAAAAAGGAAAATCAAAAAAAAAGGCCCTGCAGAGCCGACGTTTTTTTTTCCTCTTTTCCCGTTTTACTCGCGCGGGGGGCCGCAACCATACCAACCTGGGCCAGCTCACCCCATGGGAGGCAGAGGCCCACAGCCAGAGCGTGACGCGCGGTGCCGCAAACAAAAGCGCAACCACTACCAGTACATGTAGAAAACACAAATCACGACGGCAAAAACCGGATGGCGCGCCTGGCACCCACCAAAA